GGGATATTTTATATCGACCTTAAAATTGTTTAACGACACTCACCGTCAGTGTCTTGTTAAAAAAAAAATCCAAACAAACAAAAAAAAAACCCACAAAAACAAACAAACCAACAAAAATCCTATTAACTCTAACCGCAGCTTTAAGGTTAGCATAGCATGTGAACGTTTAAATATATCCAGTACATAAAAACAGCTAATTCCACAACTACACAGAAATTCTAATTTCTTGCAGTTTTCTTTCTTTCTACCTTTTTTCTTTCTTTCACAAATACTACACATAAATAACGAACACCACGCAACACCTAATCTTCATTGTAACAAACAAGCGTCAACAAACCTGAATGAAACTGTAGCTGTTCCATGAGCCGCCTGTCACTACAGCATTCCCAGATTTAAATCTTCCCCACAGCCGGAATGAGCTTTTCAGCTGACAGTCCAACCTGTTCCAGGTAAATGTGACAACCCTGCGTCATGCACCGCCAATTTCCCGTGTGTGTGTGTGTGTGTGAGACTCGCTCACTCGCTCACTCGCTCACTCACTCAAATCAAAAGCCTATCCTGAGAAACACTTCCTGTAAGAACGCGCGCCTCTTTCTCTCTGCTTTACAATACTGAGGCTGCGTCCCGAACCGCACACTAACACACTACTCAGTTCCAAATAGCGCTCACTAGTTACCATTAAAGGCGCACTATTTCTACATACTAAGTAGTACAGTAGTACGCGGAGTGGGACCAAGCCTAGGAAAGGTCCAGACTCGACACGCTTGACTTTTTTTTCCTTAAAAATTGAACTCATTATCAACAAAGAGCGTTTTCCTACAAATTGTATCAACAAATTCTAGTAATACTGATATTATCTCATGGTTCATGCCATAGGTTACTTTTGAAAAATGCATTTTCATAAAGGCTACGTCAAATTCATAATAAAACATTTGAGCAAAGCGCCATCTTGTGGTGATACATGGACACTACATGTACACTTGAGTCAGCAGTTTATCAGGTACCATATGGGCGTTATTACTGACCCTGTCTGTCTATTTCATTCATTAGAGGATTCATTAAATTGTTCCACCCTGAACAATTCATCTTTATAATTAACATGTGATCTTTAATGGCACCCATGGTTAATTTTGTACTTATTTTCTACTTCTTTTATTGATAATGGTCTACTTTCCCTTGTTTTCTGCATCACCCACAATGCTAGTGGTGATAGTGAGGTTTAACCCTCCCTTCATCTCTACCTAAAGAGAGTGATGAAGCAGTGCTTTATTCCTTATTTCTGGCCAGCTCTCACCTCCTCATCTATACACTCTGCTTTCATGCTAATACTGCAGTCAATGCCATCGCACACACATTAGCCCCATTATTAGACACACTTACCTACTTGTATACGCTTACCAGTTAGAAGCTGTAGCTTATTTTTTACATGCAGATTGGACCTCTTTTTTCATCATCAGTGTTTTTTTTCCTTCCACAGTATGTGGTCACTGTTGGCTGAAATTGTTAGTTAGAGCATTGTTCTTAACCAAAGAGTGAGTAAGCTGTTCAAAAAGAAATTCCAGCAACACTGCTACACCATTACATATATATATATATATA